TATATCATCCTTCATCTTTATTGTTATTGTTATTTTTTAATGCTAAAAATGGCTTCTTGCTCTATTATCCCAAAGATAGAAGTTTCCCATATACTTTTAAGAAGCTATCTCTTCAGCTTAGGACTAAAAACAGGTATTCCTTTAAATGACCATTTGAAGAGCCAGTCGCTGTGGTTTATGGATGACCAGTAAATTGTGGAGAAAGTCTCCGGTTTGTGGCAATAAACCACAAAGTATGTGGTGATACTTCTTTACCACCTGTTGGCCATTGGGGGCTGGAGAGGTCTGAGATGAATCTGAGTTCAGTAGTGGTGGATTCTTGGCTGAGGGTCCCCCCCCCCCCCATCCCGGGTCTTGCTTTGTACAGGGATGCTGGAGTCCGTCTGGCTGCCGCTGTGAGGAGTCAGCAGACCCTGGAGGGACCAGGACTCTAGACCTATTCCTGATTCCTCCATGCGGGACACTCTGAGCCTGCCCAAAACACTTCGCACCTCTCACCACCTTTACTGAGAGAAAAGTGGTTTACTACATGGACGTGCAGCTTGCATTTCAGCCTGGATGGAGACAAGTTAAGGTTTACTTGCTTAAGCCTTACCTTAGTCAGCTGTTCCTGCCTACTGCTGATCTTCCTTTGCTGAACACAAAGGTATTTAATACCGTATCTAAGTAACTGCCTTAGAGGCCACCAGGTGTTGGGTGGCTAATTGTGGCTCACTTTCTAAATGTCACCTAACCCTGTCCCTTACTGAAGTTCAGAGTGCCAAACAGGCCTTTGTGTGGCGCAGATCACTTGACTCTGACATATGTCACAGCTGGACTCACAGCTGCAGGGTTGGTTTCTCCCTGGCTGGTAGCAGAGAGGGGGTTCTGTTGAGGGGAGCCCAACATTGGGCACCATGACAGGTAGGAGGATGACAGCATCTAGAGAGGCCTGTGGGGGAAGTGGAGGATGCATGAGCAATGGACCACACCTTTTATTAAACAACATTCCTTACCTTATCTCTGTAGCTCCGTGTGAGCCAATTTCTTGGTGTGAGAAGAATGCCTGCTCATCAGGGTCAAATGCAGGGCTCTGTTAATAGTCCAAGTGTCCAGAGAGAAAACGGCTTTTGGCTGATTTAACTACCGTCACTAGACAGTAGACGGTGCTAAAAGCACTGTGTCCTCCTCTGCCTGCACCTCTCTTTCTTGGGCTCGTGGGGGTGCCTTCAGTCCTCAGGGCACACCATCAGTGCCTCTGCCATCCAGCCTGAGAGGCTGTCGCAGCCCGCTCTCACGGGTGGAGAACATGATTTCACTTCCCCTCCCCACCACCTGCTTGGGGGCTGTCCTGCGTTACGCGGCCCATTGGTGTAGGATCCCCCTGGATCCTGCTCTCTTTCTCAGCCCTGGGGTTTCTGCTTCTTCCCCGTGCGCCCTCTTCACCTTGCTTCTCCATGGGGTCCTCCTCGCAGGCAGCTGCTGGTCTCTGTGCACATAACCCCCACATCCCCGACGAACCCAGGTCGAACCCTGACGAACCCTGGGGAGATGCTGTGTCACTGTGGGGATGAACAGACACACCGAATTCAGCTGGATGACACGTTTGCTTCTGAGACCCCCAATTCCGTGAGAGCAGGGACTGTCCCGGGGTGCATTACTGACGGGGAGCTCCAAACTGGTGAGGGGAGAAAATGGCTGAGGCTGCCAGAATGGGAATGGTTGGCAAATGGAATCATGGCTTCCCTGTTCAATCAGTGTTCGTGTTCACAGATGGGCCTGGAGGCATCACTCCTGTGGTATGCTTGGCCCTTCAGCGGGTCCCCCGGTACCCTACGTCACTGACTCCTCACAGGGGCTGGCAGAGCCTGTTCTCCTTGCATCCTGCCGTCACCTCAGACCTAGGACTGAGCTCATCAGTCGCCCAAAGTTTGTTCCGGCTCCTGAGTGCTCCCAGTCTTACTGGCCCAGGTTCTGGACCGTAAAGATGATACACCTTTGACTCATGTTTCACTTCTTGCCAGCTCCCACGGGTCCACCCAACTTGCCACCTGCCAAGTACAAACTCATCCTTGGGCAGAGGGCCCGTGGGTCGTTTTTACGGTCCTTCTGTTGCAGGTGTCCTAACTGGGCCCTCTGTGCTTGGCACTTTCTAACTGACCTCTCACCTTGCAACCCAGGACTAAGACCCCCAATGGAGCCAGTCTGCTGAAATACAAGGTCCTTCTCTTAAAAAATCCCTCTCAAGTTTACATCTGAGGCCACTTGAGCTGCCAAGTGCGCATCCAGATCCCTGATGCTGTGGGTGTGATTCCCAAGCTCCTCTTGTTGAATTGCCCTAGTCATGCTTACGTAGATCCCGTGGAGGGCTTTGACTCATAGTGAGCAGCTGGGTGCTCCTGTATAATCTCGCCAACTGTTTTGATGTTTCCCACCTACATCTTGTCTTTACATGCTTCCTTGCCTTTCATACACTGCCCTCCTCTGCCTGGACTCACCCTTACCTGCTGAGAAAGTTCCTTCTCAGCCCTTACAGCCCAGGGAAACTGCATACCAGCCTCAATCAGCATACCCCACATTGCATCCTAATTATTTCTAATTATGTCTTCTCTACTACACTGCATGGTCTGAGGGAATAGGGTTGAGGTCTGATTCATCAATGTCCCCTCTGCCCCCAGTGCCGAGCACAGTAGGGTTTAGGCAGTGTTGGCCATACAGATCCATCATTTATTCACAACTATTTACTCTTAAGTTTCCTTGGGCTAGTCACTCTGCTGGGCACACAGGGGTGAGCAAGGCAGACAGGGTCGCCAGCTTCCAAGCAGAGGGTTTGCGAGGTCAATCAAAGAGGAAACATAGATGGACGAGATACTTCGGAACCGCTGTGCTTCCAAGGGGCTGCTTTAGATGCAGGTGTGCAAGGAAGGCATCTCTGAGAAGAGACTTCAGAGCTGAGGCCTGAAGGATGAGGATGGATCAGCTGTGCAGAGACCTGGGAAGGTGCTCTCAGGGCAGAGCAATGATAGGTGCACAGAGGGGCTCGGAGTGCTGCGGGAGTGGACAGGGCCTGCAGCTGCCAAAGCAGGACGGTCAAGGGGGCGGGCCTTGTGGGGTTGTCCCTGCCAGATCCTGCCGAGCTGCTTCTGCAGGTCACGGTATGGACTTTGGCTTTCTTCCTGGGAGCGGCTGGGGAGGCCTTGGAGGGTAGGATGGATTTCACACTTGTACTGTCTGTATGGCTAAGCAGGTGAAGGTGCTGAGACCGGCCCTCTTCTCTCCTCCCCTTTTTCTGCTGCCTCTTCTCCAACCCCCACCCCCCAGCCTTGCTTCCACTCAGACCCTGAGACCTACACCCACATGTGCTCTGAGCCACCTGGCTGCTCCTTGCTGCAGCCTGCCTGGCTCCTGCCACGCCCCGAGGTGCCAGGGAGGCTCCCACCCCCTCCACGAGCCCCCATTCTCACTCCCCTGAGCTGACTGCACCCTGGTTCTTGCATTTCTGACCCTTTCATGGCCTTTGCCCCGGTGACTCTGAGCCCTCCCCCTCCCCCCTCCAACATGTTTGCCTTGATTTGCTGTGCCTACCGCCCCCACAGGGCCAGCCGCTTGGACTTACCTAGGTTTCCCCTCCCTCCCTAAAGCTGACCCACTTTAAAGCCCCTCATCCTGTGAGCTGTCCTGGCAAAAATACGTCATTTAAAAATGGCTAAGGTTTATTGAGCCCTTACTGCATGCAAGACCTGCATTGTTAATGAAATGTTAATTACTCATTTAACTATGACATCAACCCTATGAGTCTGGTACTGTCATCCTCCCCACGTTACAGCAGAGGATCCTGAGGTTCAGAGATCACACAGGAAATAGCAGGGCCAGCTTTGAACCCAGGGTATTTCACTGTTCCTGCCTGGTGCCGTCCAGCGTGGTTCTTTGTGGTCTTGACATCCTTATCCACACCCTCTCCAAACCACTTTCCTGTGGTTGCTCATGTTCCTCTCTTCACTCTAAAGATGTAACTCTGGGGGGGGAAAGGAGCAGCAGGTCTTCTGTTGCCTAACCTGTGCTATCCAACCTCGGATCTAGGAGCCCTGCCTGTCTTCTCCGCAGCACTTAGGCCCATTGGGCACACTTGTGGGCTCTGCTGAATGAGCAGACAAACAATAGCACCTGCCTCCAGTTTACAGATGCGAGTTAAGTCTCAGGATTACAACTGCTCTTGTAAGTCTCTGCCTGACACCCAGGGAGGGGGTGGGAAGCCAAAAAAATGAGGTGAGGCTGCAGGAAGACAGTTTCGCTTAAAGACCTTGATGAGAGGCAGAGTTGTCTGGAGATGGAACCAATTGCCACCTCTCTCATTAGAAGGGAGGCTCAGCATCAGAGGAGTGGCTAGACAGTGTATTTTTGGAGAAATTCTTCCGCGCTGAGAAGATGGGATTCTGCGCCTTGAATGGTCCTGGGCGGAGTAGGAAGGACTAAAATAGTAAGAGACCATGCTCTCCCCACAACAGTGTGCCTGAAACCTTCCTAGACGGGGCCCACGGGCCCACATGAGAAGTGAAAGTGGCAGCTGAGGCCTCTCAGCCTGGATCACACCTGCTGTAGGGGAGCACCCCAGGAGTGGGACAGATGCGGGTATAAGACCGCAAATGCTTGCTGTGACCCAGGGCTGCAGGGCACGCCCCGATGGAGTTCTAGCTAGCTGTGTGCCTTCTGCAGCCCTAGGGGAGCCTCGAGCCTTCCCCAGGGTGGCTGCAGCTTCTGGAGCCGGGACTGTGATGATCGTGGCAGTGGCAATTGCCGCCTCGCTGCCGTAGGTGACCCTGGAGAGTCCCAGTGGCTTTTCATGACAGAAGCAAGTGGGATCACCTGCTAAAGATTCATGGAGTACCCGTGCTGGGAGGTGGCAGAAACCCACTGTGGGCTACTCAGATTCCTATGAGAGTGCAATTTTCATGGTGGAATGAGAGGGCTCAGTGGTCTTGGGTATGTAACATGAAATACATGTGCTGTGTTTGAATTTTCAGTAGGAGGAGACAAAGGACAGAAAAGGACTCATGGCTTCTGACGCCAGTCACGTGTTAGAAGCTGCCCTGGAGCAAATGGACGGAATCATCGCAGGTATGCTCAGGGGTCCTGGCGACCTCCACCCTGGAAACCATTTTCCTCTCATTGGACTTCTCTTTTGGGTGCAGAGACAAGGCCCCTGTTGGATTTCTTTTATGTTACTGTGTGTGCGCTCTTTTTTAACAGGGCAAACTCAGACTCTTTGATAGCTGGTAAGGGTCTAGGTCTCTGCTGAGATTGCAGCTGCGCCATATATTAGCACATGAATAACTGTCCCACTTTGGATCCTGGCTGCAACAGGTGCAGTGGCTGGCACTGATTTTATCGTGGAGTTTTCAGAGTACAGCATGGTTTCAGTCAAGCTGAAACTTGCAATCTTGCAGACTTTGCCCTCTAACACTGGTGTCATTTCCCTTCCCTGGCTGGTCTCCAGTAAGTCTGTCAGGAACTGGTTTTGTATTGATTCACTTAATCACCTGAAGAATGTTCTTTATGCCATATTATTGCAACTGTTTGGCTTCATGTTTGTACGAAGCAGTTAGGAACATTCTCTTGAAAAGATCCAGCAAAGTTGTTTAATTGGAAAGGACTGCAGTGGGCTGTTTGGGCTGATTAACTCCTTGATGGGGGACAACTGAGGCCCATACTGATTGGAACAGACCTGTCATTTGAAATTTTTCCCTGCGGGCTGCAGGCCTTCTTTCTGTCCTTACCTGATACAAATCAGTGACCTTATTTGCCGACTGGGCATTTCTTTGGGACTTTGCTCCTCGTTGTGTGGAGTTATGGCTGCAGGAGGTATGTTTGGGCTGAGTGTGACTAGAACCCAGGGCATACACAGGGCACCTGACATTGCCTGCTGTCTGTCCTTCCATCCTGCAGAGAGACACCCAAGGCACTGAGGGTTCTGGGTGTTTGCGCCTGGGGCAGAGGAGGTAGGTGTTCCGTGTCTTGAAACTTCTGCATGTTGTGGTGCACCGTTACATGTTCCATTACACAGAGCTGTCATCTGTTAGGCTCTTAATTTCTCAGTGAACAGAAAGGGTCCTCAGGAGGCCAACCAACATCCGGGTTTTCAGAGACTCCGGAAATTGGGGTGTCCTCCAGGTTAGGGTCCCGGAAGCCCTATTGAGAGGAGATGATCAACAGTGTGGGGTTCCTGGCAGTCTTTTCAGAGAGTCTCCCCCGGAAGTTTCCTGTGCATCGTGATCAGAGTCAGGCTCTCAGACTAACTCAGGTGGTCAGCACTGCCGAGCCCCCAGCCCAGGGGCAGGAAGGAGGCTGTAAGAGCCCCTGGAGCAGGCAGAGCTCTTAGACAGCCGGGACAGGTGAGTGGGGCACCTCCTAAAGAAGGCAGCCTGTGTGGGGTCACTTCCTTCTCCTGCCACTGAAGTTCCCCCTGAAGACACCCCTGAAATGACGAAGCGTCTGGCACAGTCCCCTCTGTCTGTGAGCGAGGACTGTGGGTCTGAATACTTGGGGCCTTGGCTTGGTCGGGTGTGGTTCCTGCAGTGGGTGTGGTTCCTGGAGCAGAACCAGGGACTCCCATCCTTGTTCCCTTCTGGCATTGCGTGCTCCCCCCTCCTCCTATTTCCTTAGGCCTCCACCCTGGCAAACTCCTTCTGGAAGGGCTCCCTGGGCGTCTCTGGAACAGATACAAGAGTTTTGCTGAGAGGTGGTCTAGAACATTCCAAGGAGTTCTTTGGTTGGAGGAACACCTGTAGCCAGACTGCTTGTTTCAAATCCTAGCTCTGAATCAAGTTACTTGCATGATATGTGCTTCAGCTTCCTCATATTTAAAACGAGTATAATAATAGAATCCTCCTAAGAAGGTTGCTGTGCTTATACATGTAAGGGCTTAACACGGAGCCTGCCATATAGTAAGCACTATAAAATGTCAGCTTTTGATAAATTGAGTTCTCATTTATTCAGGTCCTTATTTCACCCATTTGTGTGCTATGGTTTTCATTGTCTAGCTAAGGCTTGTGCGTGCCTCTTAAGCTTGCCTGGGGTCTACAAGATTAATGCAGAGTCTCTGAGGGGGCTCTGCTCTGCTCTTGCCCCCTTGTAGACTGTCCTCCACAGAGCAGCAGAGGAATCAGATCACACCCCTCTCCCCACAACTCTTCAGTGGCTTCGCACTTCAGGGTGAACATCTAAAGTCCCCATTGTAAGCAGCAGCGCTGTATGCGATCTGGCCTTTGGCTGCACCTCTCCACCTTCCATCTGGCTTGTCTGGCTTTAGCATAGGCTGTCTCAGGGCCTTTGTGCTTGCTGTCCCTCTGCTGTGATGCTCTCCAAGTACACTGAGGTCAGATCTCTGCTGAAATGTCACCACGCAGAGGCCTTCCCTGACACTCTCTCAGGTCCTCCTATTTCCTTAGGCCTCCACCCTGGCAAACTCCTTCTGGAAGGGCTCCCTGGGCGTCTCTGGAACAGATACAAGAGTTTTGCTGAGAGGTGGTCTAGAACATTCCAAGGAGTTCTTTGGTTGGAGGAACACCTGTAGCCAGACTGCTTGTTTCAAATCCTAGCTCTGAATCAAGTTACTTGCATGATATGTGCTTCAGCTTCCTCATATTTAAAACGAGTATAATAATAGAATCCTCCTAAGAAGGTTGCTGTGCTTATACATGTAAGGGCTTAACACGGAGCCTGCCATATAGTAAGCACTATAAAATGTCAGCTCTTGATAAATTGAGTTCTCATTTATTCAGGTCCTTATTTCACCCATTTGTGTGCTATGGTTTTCATTGTCTAGCTAAGGCTTGTGCGTGCCTCTTAAGCTTGCCTGGGGTCTACAAGATTAATGCAGAGTCTCTGAGGGGGCTCTGCTCTGCTCTTGCCCCCTTGTAGACTGTCCTCCACAGAGCAGCAGAGGAATCAGATCACACCCCTCTCCCCACAACTCTTCAGTGGCTTCGCACTTCAGGGTGAACATCTAAAGTCCCCATTGTAAGCAGCAGCGCTGTATGTGATCTGGCCTTTGGCTGCACCTCTCCACCTTCCATCTGGCTTGTCTGGCTTTAGCATAGGCTGTCTCAGGGCCTTTGTGCTTGCTGTCCCTCTGCTGTGATGCTCTCCAAGTACACTGAGGTCAGATCTCTGCTGAAATGTCACCACGCAGAGGCCTTCCCTGACACTCTCTCAGGAAGCATCCCTACATCCCCTCCCCCATCCTCCCATCCTGTTTGTATTTCTTTGTAGCACTTACTACCATCTGACCCATTAGGTTCATATTCGTCTGTTTATTATCTGCCTCCTGCACCAGAGTGGAAGCCCTGTGGCAGCAGAGGCTTTGCTGCTGCGTCTCCAGTGCAACACAGAATACGTCTTTAATAGCTGTTTGGGTCCCATCTGTATTTGATTTACTTTTGTGAATAAGCTCCCCTTTGCATTTATTAGGCGGCAGTTACTGGTTTCTGTACCTATCCCCTGTCTGTCTGCATGCTGAACTTCATTGATTATTTTCTCTCTTGTGTTTTGGCTCATTCTTGTAGAATAATAAATCACTAATTTTTTTTTTTTTTTTATTTGAAGACTCTGTGGTTAGCATGTCCTGTGAGCCATCTCTTAAGCAGTAATTGGCTCACCCAGACATTTGACAGGAGCTATTTGGCAGATAATTCAACACTGAGGTTATTAGCGAGTGTCTGGAGGGCATATGTTCTATGCCATTTGCGATGAAAAGAATAATAATTATTGAATGCTTTTGTGTGGGATACTTTTCCTCAAGATTATTAAGGCCACCCTCATTTTCAAGTTGACTGAGCCAAAGAGCTTAGGGATTTTTGTGGTTATTAATGTAAACTGCAGTTAGACTGTTGGAGTTCAAATCCCAGCTCAGCCACTTATTACTGGCTGTGGAGTCTTTGGGCAAATTGCTTGATCCCCTTGAGCCTCAGTTTCCTCATAGTGTATAGACAGTGGTAATAACAGCGCCATCTCATGTTATTGGGAGGATTAAATTAAGGTAAAGAAGGCAGTTAGAATAGTGCCTGTTACCTAGTAAGTGCTCACTGGGTCTAAATTACCTTGGTTTTGTTGATATTACTGTTGACATTATGTTTGCCACCCAAGCTATAGTGCTGGTAAATGACAGAACTAAGATTTGAGTCCAGGCTATCTGAGATCCAAATGTCTTCCTGGCTCGTTTCACTCCTGGGTTGATCTCATGGTGATGTGCAGCAGAACCCCTGGGGTTCTGCAGGACCATCTAGGGAGTTCACTGGGAGGAGGGTCAAAGCCTGTCCTTGGACCCAGTCTGTTGGTCACAGTGGCTTTGCCCTCTTCCCTTCTTACGTTCAACTTCCAAGTAAGAGCTCGTTTGCTTGAGCAAAGAGCAGCTAGAAGGAAATTGAAGACTGTGGCACCAACATCATGAATCACAGATTCTGTAGAGGTTATGTCTGTGTGTGAACATTTATATTGTCCTTTCTTTATTTCTATTCTCTCACTAATTTGAAGTCAAAGGGTTGTCAAGTACTACTTCCAGCTGGTAAAGGACTCAAACCACTGCATCCTCCCACTTTATGAAAACACAGTTATGCTTATCTTAGTGAAGAAGTTTTTATGGGCTTTCTGCGTGCCCTAAACAGCAAGCATTTATGTAGAAACAAATGGATTCTTACTCAAATGGGCACAATTTCCTTCAGTAATGATTATGAATGATTATAACACTGTATAACCAGAACTTTCCCTTATTAATTACTCTACAGTATGACAGGCTACTCTTCACTTTCCAAAACTCTTTCCAAAAGAGTTTCCAGAAGAGTATACTTAGGGCATGTGATATCAATGTGTATATAATTAAGCCTTTAATGCAAAAAAAAAAGCGCCCCCTTCTTCTGATCAATGTGAACAGTACAGATGGTGCAAGAGATGATCACTTACAGAAGCAACCAGGCCAGGAAAACTCAGAGGACATCCTGATACACAAGTGCCAAATGCACCCCTGCAGAGGCAAGCATGGTGACCCTCATCGGCAGGCATTCGTCTGCTCTGGAGACATGAGACAAAGAAATGCCTTCTAAGCAGAAGGAGGAAATGAAGCA